TTCAAAAATCTGTATATTAGGTATATGCGGGCCATAGGAAATATTGATCCGATTCAACCCATTTTGACACAAAACCATACTATTATCGAGAGTTTCATTTATTTATTTTATTATATGAATTTTAATTATATATCTTACACATTGACCTATATTTTCGGTAAAAAGTTAACTATAGGCACTGGTATCCACATATTTAGTACCTAGGGGCTTGAACAGTTTTGGTTCGATTTAGACAATTTTTGATCACAAGGTGGCATATTCTAAACGCATTATTCACGCAAAGTTTTACCCCGATACAATCATTGCTGCTTGATTTGCACAGGGGAAAGTGAAAGAATCAGAAGAATTTTAAAATGGTGTTATATGAGAAAAATGCGTGGTTGTAATCCAATTTCACCCATTTTCGCATTATATCATAGAAATATGATAAGGAGAATTAAGTTGAAATCGGTTAAGCAGATCCCAAGATATGGCTTTTCACCTAGAAGTGGGCTGTGCCAATCCCACTGTCTAATTTTGAATGAGGTTCCTTTAAAGTCATCGCATACCATCCCAGAGATAAAATTTAATGTCTCTGGCGTGTTAGTGCTTGATTTATCGCGCTTTAGTAGTTTTTAACTGTACTGTTATATGGAAAGTGGGCGGGCACAGTGTTTTCACACTGTCGATAGAGCTGCAAAAAACATTTGTTCTCAGTGAATTTTGTTATTATAGCTTTAGCGGTTTAGAAGATATGTACATTAAACCTATTAGGGAGCGGGACCACGACCACTTTTTTTAAATTTAAACTGCAAATGCCCCTCCTTAATGTGATCTTGTATACCAAATAAAAGTCTTGTATGTTTTTGGGAAGCTTAATTATGGCAATGTATTTGTTTTTGATTAATGGCGGTTTTTGGGCGTGGCAGTGGTCCAAGTCCAGTACCAAGAAACATGTGTACCGAGTTTTATAAAGATATCTTAATTTTTACCTAAGTTACAGCTTGCACAGAGGGACAAACAGTCACCCGGATTTCAACTTGTCTCTTCATCCTGATCATTTATATATACATAACCCTATATCTATATAAGTTTTGCAGTTTGAAATTGGTTATAATTAAATCAAATTACAAAATGTTGTGAAACCAAACAAACAACTAAAATTCATGACTTATTAGAATTAGAAGGATTCCAGTCAAATAGCCCATGCCTAATTCTAGAGGCTAACCGTCCTTAATTTCCTTATTTAATATAATATGTTAAATAACATTTTTAATAACTGATTGAAAAGAAAGAAGTATGTAATCGGAAAAGAGAATGAAAACTGTTAACAAATTGAGTAACATCATTCAAGAAGTAACACATTTTTTTCACAATTTGTATTTGATAATGTTAATTTACTGTTCTTAGTGCAATATTAAATATATGAAAATGTGAGTCTTCTATCCAAGTAACGTTATCATAACAGAATTTTTATTTTATCAGATAAACTTCTTTAAAATTGCTGATCATGTAGTTACTCGTACATACATATGTAAGCATATAGTGTACAGCTGACGTTCCTCTCATATTTTATAATGATTATCTGAATATGATAATTATGTAGTTTGAATAAAAGGTGCTAAGAATCAATATTATTTAAAGTATACCATCTAGCTGTTGTTGTAACGGTTATCTAGTCCCCGCTTGGATGATAAGCGATAGTTTGGTTGTCGTCGAGGTCATCTAACGGGAGCCCCAAGAAACAGGCTGTTTTGAGGGGGTCCATAGGGAAAAGGGTGTTAGATGAGTTGGGTTTGTTGGGCATGCAAAGAGGTGGTTAGTATCATGCGGAGCCTCATTGCACGCAGGACATATGTTTGGAATGTCAGGGTCTATTCTGGATAAGTACGAGTTTAACCTGCTACAATATACAGAACGAAGTTGCGCGAGGGTCACTCTGGTTTCGCGAGGCAACTCGAGCTCTACGTCTGCTATGGGTGGTGGTTTGACTCCTAGTACGCCATTCACTGAGAGGGAGTCGATGAAGGTGTTAATGGCTCCACTGTGAATGGCGGTCAGTGCTTGTCTGTAGTTCGTTGAGTCCGAAGTCCGGTCGGCGTACTGTCTGATGTCGTCGTCGTAATCAAGGAATGACCTCTTGATATTCCTAGGAGGCGGTTCCGCTTCAAGCAGACGACTGCAGGGGTGATTTCTACGAAAAAACCCCAGCAGAAACTGCTTGGAGAGGAGTTCGTTATGTTCCTTAACCGGAAGCATAAGGGCCTCACTGTGCAGGTGTTCTATTGGGGACATCAAGAGGCATACCGTGATAGTCCGTAGTGCAGTGTTCTGACAAGTCTGAAGATTCCTCGTCTACGTTGCACTACATCCAAGCGACCATATTGGTGATGCATAGTTTAGGACCGGCCGGCCGATTACCTCGTATATTGGCAGCAACGTTTATTTGTCTTTTTCCAAGAGCTGCGGGCAAGCGATTTGAAGATTTGGTTGCAGCTCTATACTTTGGCAGTTATCGCGGTATTGTGAGGAGTGAAGGAGCACAGGCTGTCGAATGTAACGCCTAAAATTTTAAGGTTATTAACCGTCGGAATTTTTGTGCTATCGACTAAAATGTTCAGGTCCAGTCTGTATTCCTTCGTCCAATTTGTGAATATGGTCGCTGTGGATTTAGTGCGTGAGAGTGTCAGACTCCTTGCAGAGAAGAATTCGATTCCATTGCCCGACGTCAATATCGTGTACGAGGGCACGGAAATTCCCACTGGTGGTTGGGGGAGTTTCGAAATGTAGAAATTAAGTGGGGAGAGGACACCGCCCTGTGGAACCCCCTGTTTAATTCTTCTAAGTTTGGAGTTTTGGCCTCGAAACAGTACGGATGAATGCAGACAGCTCAGGTAGTTCATGGTTCACCGCTTCAGTCCTGGAGGGAGCGTTGGTTGCTCTAGGTCCTCAAGTAGCGTTGTGTGATTGACTGTGCCAAAAGCTTTTGACAAGTCCAACGCTACGAGGATCGTCCTCTCGCAGGGTGGCTTTTGGTTTAGGCCACGAATTATCTGGGCGTTTATGACGCTAAGTGCTGTGGTGGTGCTGTGCATTTTTCGGAAGCCATGCTGATGGTCTGCTAGACTCAGGTGTTGAGTGAACGTCAGGAGTAGCAAGGCCTCAAGTGTCTTCACGACTGGGGAAAGGAGAGTTATCGGGCGATAAGACTCCCCTTTGTTGGCCGGTTTCCCAGGTTTCAGTAGTGGGACCACTCTTCCGACTTTCCACACATCGGGTATTTGAAGAGTGGACATCGACAAGTTGAGGACCTTGGTGAGGTAGCTTACTCCCGTCGAGCCTAGATGCTTTAGCATCAGCATGCTTATTCCATCTAGTCATCATAAAGTTGAGGACCTTGGTGAGGTAGTTTACTCCCGTCAGGCCTAGATGCTTTAGCATCAGCATGCTTATACCATCTAGTCATCATAATCGGTTGAAGCATCAACATCCTTTAAACTATAATTCTAAGTCCAATACGGTTTTTGAGATCAGTTCTATATGTCTTCATTTATTGTTGTTTAGTGTACTTTGCGGGTTCCTTTTTTCTAAATTTGAACTCTTATTAATGTAAAACATGTTCAACAGTATAATTGAAATTATTGTCCATCTAAAGCTATAATATTTTCCCATCTTTCAGTCAATTTATGAATTCCATCCCAAAAGAACTGCCCCGGCTTGGCGGTCAAGAATGAATTAAGCCAATTTTTGATACCCTGTTTTGATATGAACCGTATTCCACTGAGAACTTTCTGCATCGACCGGAACAAAGAGTAGCCAGAAGGGGCAAAGTTTGGCGGGTGAGGCAAAACTCCACAGCCGCTGTTGCAAATAGTTTTTAACTGGTCTTGCAACATCAGGCCGAGCATTGTCATGATGGAAAATTATTGCCTCGTGTCTAATCGCGAATTCCGTGCATTTTTCGGCAATCGCTTGCTGCAATTTAATGAGTGTTTAACGAACGTTCGAGCAGCATTTCTCACATGCAAAATAATCTTTCAACGTCTCTTGGCTTTAATTCATATGGCACCCAACTTCCTTGCTTTTGAATGCATCTGGCTTTTTTTAAACGTTTTGAAATGTCTTTTTAAGTCACTCCTGAAGATTTTTTGGATTTCTTCTTGTGTTTGACACAATTTTTTTGGCCAGAGTTTGGTTCATATTCTTAGAAAATATGTTACTAACGAAAGAAAAAAAACTGAATGATTGCAGATCAAAACTGTGACCTCTAGGTGTACCGCCAGCGCCGACTCTGATGGCGATCGTCAATGGACACCACTCTCTAATTCCACCACTTCCGGCGAAAATGGCTTCGAAAAATTTAAAAGTTTAGTTCAAAATAGCAATAAACTACCCTACAAGCTTAAACGAATTCTAAGGATTCTTTCTCAGTTAAAAAAAATCACAAAAAACACACGAATTTTGGCCTCCTAAATTGAATCGACTAAAACTACTTTACTACTACTAAACTTTGCCAAAAATCATTCTAGTAAAGGGCGTTTTACCAATTCTTCCCTACCAAAGAGAAATATTTCAAAATCCAACGAATAACAGGGTTGTAAATTTTTGGATTCAAAAATTTTGGATTTTAGTTTTCAATTTTCATTTTTACCTTTAATCCAAGACATTTAGGTTAAAAATTTTATTTTTTGGATGAAGGACGCAAACGGCTAAAAATGTTAATTTTAAAACAATTCCTTTTTTAATTATTAATTATGTGCTTGGGATTATAATTTTTCTATTTTGATTTTCAGTTCGGTAGTTTGAAATAAAAATTATAAAAAAAATTTATTATGGTCTTCAACATTTTTTGTTTTATATTTTTTAATCACATATTTGGGATTACAAAATAAAAAAATACTTAATTCAAAAGTTAATTTAATTATTTTTTTATGCATTATTTTCAAACCTGATGAATAACAACCTCATCTCCCTCAACCTTAACCATTATTTTCTAAATTAATTTGCGTCACTATTAATTTTATTGTGAGTTCAAATTAAATTTTTATTATAAAATATGTGCGATAAACAAACATCAATAAACAATGATTAAATAAAATATATTTAATTGTATCTATAAATACGGATCCCATCCAGGGTATAGACGACAAAGATTTTGTTTAGAAACAGCGTCATTTATTAATCTTTGCACTTGAATATCAGTATTGACGGTACCTGTGATGTTACTTAACCTTCCTTCTAACTTATGCTGAACACATAAAAGAGCACGTTGTGCAGTTAGATTTTTCTCATCATCTGAAAACAGGTTCATTTAACCATTTACCTGTAAATAAAATTCATAAGGCTCATAAAAGTTTACCTTTAGATCCAGTGGGTGTTGGCACTACCTTCCAAATATATAGCGGATCATATAGTAAAACTTCAAGAATTGTAATTATTACGGAATGATTTTTTCGCAAAACTTCCAGTGTTGATTGGCATGCTTTTTTAAATACCCCACCTGTTTCACAAATGCCCATTGGCGCAACCATATCTCTGGTTAGGCGAAAAGGTACAGTTTCTGGGGTTGGCATTATTTTTCCTTGCTCAAAAGCAATTCCTACAACCAATTAAATACACGTTTAACACATTTTCTAAGTATATTGCTCGCAATTTTCAATACCGAAATCGATATGAATCACTTCCGCAGTTTTCTCATCAATCAATATATTTTGAGTATGTCGATCGCCTAGACCAACTACAAAGCCAACCATGGAATTCACAGCCAGGCTATATTGAAAATATATAAAAGTTAATACATTTATAATTTTATTATTAACAAAAAGTGACCTGTTGGTGTAAGCCAGGCGTCGTTCAAACCAAATGCCTGGAACTACAAATTTCTCCAGCAGAAAATAATGGAAAACTGGCTTTATTTGTGCGCAAATTTGCTCGTAAATTGACAGTCGCTTTTGTATGTCGGATTTAAGATGTTGCTAAACACAAATAAAAAGGTTAATTAACTATACTAAAATATTAATCGACTACTTCAATGGAGAAGTTAGTTAAGTAAATTTTCGACAATATTGGGAGTGCGCTGATGTAACATCGCCGAAAGGAACTCTTACCATAGATATTTGACGGCACTTATAAGGTGTGATATCAACAGGCCGATATTTCTGATGTGCGCCAGCTTTGTCGCTTCCACTACCCAAATACACACCGATCGGTACAGTATTTTCACACCACTCTAATATCCCACTTCTCATTGAGAGCGGTACAACTTTATAAGTGCGAATATTAATTTTCCGTTCGCTTGTTTTCGGATCGTAGCACAATAGTGTGTTCATCAGTGAAAAATATTGCTGCATTACTGCGTCTTGACGTAAATCATCTCGACCTTTTAAGAGTTGAGGCCGTGATTTTCCATCAGAACATAAACACTTGAGTTTTTTTGGAGCGTTTATACCCCCTACCAGTGACACGCTTTCTTCCCACCGTACAATACCTATAATATACATATATGAAAATACTATAAGACGGATTTGTTACAGTCGGTATCGAGCTTGTAACATTTATATTTTCCGATATATGAGAACATAACTAAATATAATAATTGTACAAGTGTTCTATATTATTTAAATGTTCCATTTATCGTAGTATAACTCTGATTGTAATCTATCTAGAATTTAATCATATTGAGATTTTACCAACAACATTCCTTTCTACTTTGCTCGAGTGCTAAAGGATTGCAGATTGTTCTGGGTTGCTGCGAAAATTCTCAGTTTATTAATTGTCGGTACTGTCTAATTGGTAAGGTGATCGTCATTACGCTGGGTGTTTCGTCATTTATTACACAATATTTAAAGCACACACTCCATTTATCGATGGTGCTCAAGCTAAAATTGTTTGCAACTAATGGCTGATTCACATAAAACTTTTGCTTCGCTTTGCGTCAGACGTTAGTGTTGACAGAAAAGTTCGATGTGTGCTTTTGTATGAGTCCATTTACATCGAAGTGAAACGCAGTAATGCGAAGTAAAATGATGAACAACCCTCATATTTTTACGCTTTGCCAAGTAACTCTGCTTTCACACACAGATTCTTCTGTAACCTAAACTGGTTTATTGAAGTCGAGGGGACGACGAAGAAAGACGAAGGGACCGTGCCACTCGCGTTCGGGTGGCACGCTTTGTGTTCTTGTTCGTAATAATTCGGTTTCAAATGAATTCGTTCACAAATTTGAATTCTGTTATCTATTTTTTGTATGTAATATGCAAATATGTATGCATAGAATAATAGAAATATTTTGAAAAATTGTAAATAAGGAGAAAATTAAGATACTAAAAAATATTTAATTTAGATTAGGAAATTCCTGTTATAAATTTGGCCTTGAAAATATTAGTAGCGGGTATTCAATATATTCTGGTGGATTAGGGAATTCCCGTCTTAAGTATTTCTTTGAAACTATTAAGCGGGTAGGTATTATGCATATTGTTCTACCATATTCATGGCAATTCATTGCAAGCAAAATGTGAGACCATCATCCCAACATACAAATTAAATATGCAACACGCTCTAAGCGTTGCGCAGTCGAACCGCACAATTATTTACGAAAATTTTGTGAAAAGGAATGCTCTAAATGAAATGAAAACTAGACTCGAGTTGCTGGACTCTTTTTGACTCTCTTTGATATTTTCACTTCGTTGATAAAGTATGAATAGTTAAGCAAAGTGGGGAAAGTTCTATGTGAATGGGCCATTTCAGATTCTCAAATTAATTGACCGCACAGAACACGAATTAGTTGGTTGTTTTATATGGTGGTCATGGGAAAGGAAATAAATCGATATTTTTTGAATTTTTTTCTATTGTGGCAACAGACGACAGAAAATTTCTTTGAATTCAAAATAATATTAATTTAATTTTTTTTTAAAGTAGAATAATGCCAGTTTTTTCGTAGATTTATGATAAGGTTACAAGAAGAAGAAAATGGATTACAAATAAGTAAGTTACTTTAGAATAAATATACTTACTTATTATTGTGTAATCCTTATTAGGTAATACTGGAAGTTCAATTGTCGGGCAATGAACAGCGTCTAAGCATTGCATTCGTTTTAATTTATCACATAACGACATAGTGGGGCCCTTTCCACAGTCAGTATCTGCGAACTTAATTAAAGCTGAAACAAAAACAATTAATTATTTATAATTTACTATGTGTAACTGTTTTAACAGTTTGCGCACCAGGAAACATCATTGCCAACTGTTTTGCGGGTTGTGCATTTGACGAGTTTCGCCCTTTTGTAATTATTTCGGCTGCAATGGTCGAACGACTTTTATTTGTTTTTCCGCCTGTATCATCAAAAATTAGTGGATACAACTGGTAAAGTGTGTGATGTGGATGATCTTGTAAGCAGTTAACCAGTATTTCTTTAATGATTGTAATAAAATCCACGAGTTTCGTATTTAATCTAGCGGTAATCTGATTCAAAGCGCAAATAAACTTATATGAAGGAATTATATTCACATTATCCTTTATTTCTTTATACAATGCTTGATCTTGCTTATTGGCGAACCACAATGATATTATCCTATATATTGCAGCATTAGAAAATCCAGAATCAATTTCACAAAATTTTATATAATTCTTAACAGCAATACACAAGTTATTTGTGCGTTTCTCCTCAATAAATTTTATTTCCGTTTCATCCAAATTTGCATACTTTTTCATTATGATTACACCGTGGTTAATATCACGATCTTTGTGTTGTCGACCAATTGAATCCGCTGTTTGTCTGTTTTGTTGTATGATTTGACATTTCAGTTTAAATTCATCAGAATTGATGTACGCATTCGACTACAAACAAATTGATTGTGATTGAGAAATCAGTGAAGTTGAGTCAGACATATATGTATATTTACATAGACAGGATTTCACACGAACTCTTTTGTCGCTTATTATCGGAAAACTCTCGTTTGGTGTTGCCCATTGCATTCACACGAACGACACTAGTCAATCGGACAATTTCCACATTCCTTTTCAAATCACATTCTCAAATTCTTTAACGCTTCATGTAGGCGTGCACAAACATATTTTTGATTAGCTAATTTTTATACTTATTCACCATTTTTTCAAATATTTCTATTATATTATACATATTTGCATATAACTTAAAAAAAGGTGATAAAAAAATTCAAATTTCTCCGAACATATCGTACTCATTTGAAACCGAGCGCCGTTGCAACCATGGAAAAATTTTCAAAATGAAAAGGAATGCCGAATTGCGTCGCAGCGAACTATTACGAAGAACAACACAAAGCGTCCGCTCGCCAAGTCCCTGTTTGGGCGACAAAAAAGTCCTCGTGTGAACAAAGTCATACTTGCATGTATTCACGATCGGCATATTTCGCTATTAATTGATAGGCTTCTTTTCGGTTTTCCTTTTCAAATTCAGCTGGTTTTAGATCTCCTAAATACAAAAAACTTAATTCGTCATTAGCACTGTGTTTTTGAGATTTTAATATCTTCTCTAGGTAAATCATAGATCTATTAAACATTTTTTCTAGAACGTATTCAAAACTTTGCGAATTAGTCTCCAAGAGAAATTCTCCGTACATTCGGAGAGCACGTGCTTGTTGTGGGCAAGCGCCTAGGTCTTTATGCGTCAATGTATGCTTTAACAATGATTCAGATATTTCAATACTACCGCATCGAAAAGAAATTTCTGCATCTTCAAGTAATAAATTAAGCTGTAATAATTAATTTAATTTTAAAATTTTCTCCTGGTGTTTTTAATGTTGTTAATTTGGTGAAATATCTACCTTTACGTGTTCGTTTGTAATTTCTGCTTCTCTAAGGGTTAATATATTACGTTTCGCCAAATTAATTTCACCTGATTTTTGGCACTCTCTAATGATATTTAGTAAACCAGTTTCGGTCGGGCTATACTATATTAAAATAAGTGTATAAAATAAATTGTACAAATCCATTTTCACATATGTACTTACTTTGAAAAAATCAGTTATCCTTCTTTGACCACGGACTCCAGCTGTGCTAAATAGAGTTATCTGGTGCGACAGTACAAGTTCTTTGCAATAAAAGTTTCCATACTTTAATTTATTTTCCAACTGCCACTTTGAAAATATCGATTTAATATCTACTTCGGAAACAAACTGGACCTATAATTTACATTTATATAGTTATCAAATATTGTCACTATAGTTTCATTTAATGAAATGAAATTACTTGACAAAAATCCTCAGTCTGCTGAAGTATGTGTAACCAAGTTAGATATTTGTAAACACTTTGAAGACATTCGGTGCTTATTCCCATCAAACTGTTAATTACGCATTGTCGAGCGTTTGCGATGGCCGCTAAGCAATTGTGTTGTTCACGATTATACAGACATTTTAAAGAATTGAAATGATGCTTCTTAAATTCCAATTCAGGATCATTTTCAACATTCACTTTCAAATGCCCTTCTACGGGCGTATCCCATTGACATAGTCTCCAACATACTTCATAGTCCACAGAATCAGCAGTATCTTTATTGCCCAGATCAGCCAGACATAAAATACCGTTTCGTTTTAATGCTGTAGTACAAAGTGTATTAGACGATGTATTCTTAAATGAGTTTTGAAGTAACATTTCGGACCAGTCGTTGTTTAAATTTAAAAATTCCAGACGAGAATTTAAGGGGGAGAGAAACCCAGATATGGCATCGTAACAACCAATGGATTTATAAGCCTACAAATAAACAATTTATATTTCATTTCATTATTTCAATATATTTAACATTACATTATACTCTCATATATTTTCATGACGTAATAAATTAATGAGTATCACCTTAATTGCTACTTCCTGAAATGCTGGATTTTTGAAATGCTCCTCTACTTTGGACTGATTATCATTCGACGTGCTCTCTGACAGTGCCCATAATTCAGTATACATAATTGTCATAAAGAACGCCTGGCAATGGTTACTTGCTTTAGCAACATACAGCAAATTCATTGGCACAGAACTAAAATAGAAAGACCCGATTTTAAAAAACTTGCTATAAAAATCCTTAAAATAATTTACCACTCATTATGTAAACGAATGCATTCACATATTTTTAGAAATACTTTTATTATTCGCTTGTCTTTATAAATCTCATGAGTTCCAATCTGATGGGTTTCGCCCTTTCGAAGAACCATATTCAACGTTTGGAAATAATGAGCGAGCATTGACATAATACTATCTATATGTCGCCCTTTATTGGACATTAAAAGTGTAATAAAAGGCAAAAGTATTTCATTTGCCAAATATATATCTCGAGAAACCAAGTTGCAGAGTGCTGTCCAACCGCAACTTTTAAGTACTTTACTAACAAACACACAAATCCATGTATCCCACTCTAGTGTCTCTGTTGAATTTAAAATGCATAGCCAATCCACAGGTTCGATGCCAAAACTTGGATCCCACTCCTGATTTGCCTTCTTAGAACTTTCAAAAATTGCCAAATATGGGTACAGTCCTGAATTCGAAATTATTTTAATTATCAACATTCATATAGAAATGCTTCAACAGTTACACATACGAACCTATAATAGATTTTGTGCATTTCGAATTAATTAACTCAATTGTTACTCTAAATAATGCTTCGTAGGTATTTGTATTGAACTGTGTCAATATTTTGTCCAATACTTTGGCAACGCTTACCGAAAAGAGTTCGTTACTGTCCATTGAACTGGTAATCTAAACAGGAAAGAGAGAATAGATATTCATACACGCGTTAATTAAATGGAAAGCTATTTTAATATACTCTTAATAATTTCAATTGCATGAATGAAATGAATGTTTCGGCACGTAAATATGGGGTATCTGAATTATACATAGAAATTCTAATGTCAATAATTGTAAAGTAATTCCAAAATCTAAGCGTTATCCTACAAGCATAAGAGTCTTTCGACAAAATCTGTTTCTCTGTGCATACTCACGTTGTCATAAAAGTATGAATTCTTTTCAAAATAGTAAAAAGTATTTGCTATTTCTAGGGAGCCAATTTCCCCAAGACATTTCGCTGCCTCCAGACGTAAATATTTATTGTGAGCATTGCAGACAACTTCCAATAATCGACGGATCAAATCACAAAAATGCTGATCATTTGTGCATATATTATCTTTAAATTTGATTATCTAAAAAAATAAAATATAATCGTTTAAAAAAAGACTACAAATAAATAAGTTTTATAACTTGCATATTGTCTTAATGTTCCTAAAGTATCGTTACTGCATTTTTGGTTTAAAATTGAAGATTCCAAAATGTCTAGGAAATCTTTAATATTGTTCGGAGAAGCTGATTTATTGCTTTGGATTTCACATAGTTCCATGAAGTTCTCTGTAGCCGGTAGTTGGGTGAAAATCACAGTATTCTCGCTAAAATCGGTAATTAAACGGTGTAATATTTTCATAGATAATTTTGATTTTTCAAAGGAATCAGTTTCAGCGATGGCTACCAAGCTTTTTGTTATCACATTCAAGTGATTATTAATCACTTCTTTACCTCCACCGATTGATATAAAAGACTTTTGGAAAAGGCATTGCAAAAAAAGAAGTCCCGTCAATTGCAACTCGGGGTATCGAACTGCAACAAAAAATTTAGTATGTTATCAGTATATAAATTCTTCCTTTTACCTGTCTGAAGACATTGAGATAAAAATAAAATCACATCACGAACAAAGTACTCAGCAATATTTTTCTCTCTTGTCGAAGTAATATGTGTTGGAATCGAATCAATAATCATATCAACTGCTGTGCAATATTTATAAAAGCATGAGATTCTCTCATTAGAAAATATACATGCGTATACGTCTGCTTTAAGAGCACCAAGAACCTTTAAGAACTGAAGGGGATGATTACAAAGTGGAGAAAACAACGTTTTCGTTTTGCTTTCATCTATATTATGATCAATCTACAAAAAATGAAATTAGTCAAAACGTATATTACTTGTTCATACATATCTGGTCGGACATGGATAGTCCAATTTCGACCACTTTTAGATGAGAATTTAAAAAAGTAAGGACCTGCTAAGTTCGGGCTAACCGAACATTTTATACTCTCGCAATTTGCAAGGATCAAAGCTGGGAATATACTTTCAGTAAGGAAGACCTTAGTTCGGTTATAACAGAACATTTTATACTCTTGCACTTTATAACAAAAAATTTTGCGGAAGGATTACACTCATATTTGGTATATACACATAGCCAATAAAGTCTGCGTTAACCCGACACATTTTTTTCGTAAACAGGCGAAAGCGCATTGAATTTGCTCATAATTATATAAATAAGTTGTCGGAATTCTGGAGACAAGTAATATTTTCGGATGAAAGTAAATTTTGCATTTTTGGCATAAAAGGTCGACAAATTGTGTGGCGCAAGTCAGGAACTGCCCTTGAAGAGCAAAATCTTGTTGGTACAACTAATTACCGGAGGTGGCGGAATTATGGTATGGGGTTGCATGGCGCCTGGTGGTGTGGGCTTGAAGTTACTGAATCCGCAATGGATAAATGGGGTTATTTGAACATTTTAAAAAACAATTTGAAACAAAGTGCAGAGAATCTTGGATTATCTTCGACGTATTGGTTCCAACAAGATAATGACCCGAAGCATACTGCGGAAATAGTTAGACTTTGGCTCTTGTACAATGCTTCTAGACAACTTAAAACGCCCCCTCAATCCTATTCAGCATCTATAGGATCTGTTGGAAAAAATAATTCGTCAGCACACAATAACAAGTAAAGAGGCTTTGCTCAGTGTTATGAAAGAAAAATGTTCCCAGATTACAGCTGAGGAAACAGATAAGTCGGTAAGATCAATGCCAAATCGATTGAGCGAGGTTTTAAAACAACGCGGCTATCCAACAAAATATTGAATTTAATTTTTCGTTATCATTTTTAATACTTTTGTAACTAATTTAAAAGCTGAACGCAGACTTAATGGTGCCTATGTTTACTTCTCCTTATCCCGTTATCACAAAAATGAAAATAGGAATATACATTTTTGTTTTTGCATTTTGAACTTAAAAATACAATATAAAGAAGAAATACATGTAGAAAATTTGAACTGAATTACCTATTTACATTGTGTTTTTATTTCACTTAAAAAATAGTGTCGGGTGAACGCAGACTTTATTGGCTATGTGTATGTATGAGGAAAACTTCAATCATCGATTCATTAAAATATAATACATTTTGACCACATTAACAGTTGAGCATCAGGTGGAAAGTCAGAAATCACTATATTTGGTCTAGGAGAAGGACTCGAGTGATTGAAATAACTTTTGAATATTATTATGTGTTTACACAATTTTAGGAATATAACTCACTGTCTGATCTTAAAGTCTGCTAAAATAACGAAAATCATTATGTGTGGCATATGAAGCTATGAACTGACTAATTCATGGACCGATATCACACATTTTGGCACTACAATAGATACAATGTTATATGTTCAGTTAATTTTAACATGATATCTTACAACTCCTATATTAGGTATATGGGCGTTGAATTTAGTATTGTACCAATTTTATTAATTTTTACGTCACTACCTATTGTTCAAAATTGATCCGGAAATTTTGCGCGAAAACCTTAAAAAAAATTTTGATCAATGAGTTAGTTTGAAATTTTGTGTTCCCAACGAGATCACGGTTACGAATACATTGAAACTAAGTTGTGGGGAGTTTACTTTATCACGGACACAATTATTTGATAGGCACAAATCATTCAGTGAAAGTCGTGAAATCATCGAAACAGCATAATTATTAATGAGAGTATATGTGTTTATGAATATGACGTCGAAACGGTCCAAAAATCTAGCGATTGACGCTCCAAAACTGAACCGAAACCGAAATAACCAAAATGCAAATAAAGCACTGAAGGCCATCCAGACGAGGCTTATAATAAGCGTATGGAAAATTGGACCAAGCGTTGGCATTCTTGTGTTGGTTTAGAAGCCTTTTTTAAAGGTGATAATAAAATTGGTATTAAAATACTTGAAAATGTAGTTCTTTGTTTTGTCAGTCTCAGTCAAAGATGCTCTCTGAGATTCATTAAGATAGTTTATGATTGACCGGGAGCTTTAAAACTGTTATATTAGGTTTATGGGGGATAGGGGAAGTATTGATCCGATTTTATCCATTTTTACCACAAGGGCACATTTTTATTGGGAAAAGATTCTCTCTGAGTTTCAATAGTATACTTCCCAAATAGATCAATATTTTCGGTAAAGTCAGTCATAGTCACTGTAGTCCTCATATTCGGTATTTGGGGGCTTGTATAGTTGTGGTCCGATATCGAAAATTTTCAGACATGAAATAATATATGTCAAATCCGTTATTTGTGCAAAGGGTTATATCGATAACCTTATTGGTGCTTAATTTATGTACCATAAACTGAAAGTCAGAAGGAATTAAAATTTGTCATTTATACGTTATGTAGTATTTAAGTAGGCGTGAACCGATTTCTGTGAAGGTCCTCCGTATTATGTTGGGTGTAAAATTTAATGCATCTGACATATTTATTTATAACATAACCGTTATATGGAAAATGGCCGACTCTCTCGCTCTCATCATGTGATTTCATCTGCACACTGTATGAGGAAGTGCTGGTAGAAGTTTCGTTAATAAAGCTTAAGGTTTTTGTGAGATATGTACATTATATTTATTAGGGGGCAGGGCCATGCATATTTTTCAATAAAATTTTAGTACTCTGGTGCCCTTCACTACCCTGATCCCTTGTACTAAAGTTTTGTATATTAATATGTAGATTAGGTATAATCCATTATGGGTTTTCTCTTAACGACACTTTGTAGACGTGGCAACCTCCTTATAGTACCAACGAATAAAGGTATCGAAACTTCAACGAGTTTCGGCTTGCACGGACGGACGAACACTTCACTGGATTTTAACCCTTGTCTCGTCATCCTTATCATTTATATATATGTATATAACTCCATATCTATCTCGATTAGTTTTAGGAATTACAAACAACCGTCAAGTGAACAAACCTATTATACTCTGTTTCACAATGTTGCGAGAGTACAACAGATGTTCTCCCTCTATACTAAATTGAAATTATGTAGCTTAATTTATGGCTTAGTTATATTATTTGGCTTGGCTTTGGTATATTATCTCTCGAATTCCGGGATAAAATGGGTATAGGCTTATAAAGGATGTTCTCCAGATTAAAAATATATATACATATAGACTTATAGTTTTGGAGATATTCGCGCTTAAAGTCCAAAAATTCACAAAAAGAGTATATAATGTTCGGATGCAACCGAAATTGAAGCTTCCCTACTTAAAATGTATACTTTTTATGAAGAGCCTGACTTACCAGATATAATTTTAAAGATTGTTTAAGAGATTCGTAATTTAAGTGATACCAGGATGATGTGCCATGTAACGTTGGAAACTCAAAGGATGTCGTAGAGAGACTATCAACTTTTAAAATACTACAACAAAAATGTATTGTTTTCCAATGAATAATTCTTGACGGTGGTAATTTCCATCCCAATCGTTGCATATTTTCATTTAACACACTAATATATTTCTTGTAGTTTTGGGTTTGGGACTCCGGACATAACGCCTTATGCGGCAGCATGTATGCCTCTAAAATTGGAAGTGCTTTCTGGAAACATATCATTAAATCATATTATTAACATTCATGTTTATATTTCCCTATAACAATGCTTGTTATTTTAAGGTGAGGTTACTATACAAAAGTTTTAAAGTAAAGTAATAAATAATGTTTGTTATATACACTGGTTTTGGACTTATTACATAATGAAAAAGATGTGTTGTAAGTTACAAATATTTATTCTAAGTATATATGTAAGTATTCATGTATGTACATATTATATTATATAACCAATAATTTAGACCAAATATTATATATTATACACCGTTCCCACGACAGTCAGGTCTACGTAACCGGAACGGACCCGGATTTTATCCGGCCAGGGACTGTCAACTCGCCAGAAGTCTGCCGCTACAACAACAACAACTAAAAATTATAGTTCAGTTGTAAAAGTCGGGTTTTTCGCGGTAAGTTGGTAATGATCCTGGGAGTTAAGGAGTTGGTGGTTGTTGCAGCTGTATTACCAACAGGGGCGGTTGTGTGGTTTGGCCATGAATGGTTGTTGCTGGGGCAGACTCCTATAACGACACACTCCACTCACGTGTGGTGCGTAGGCTGGAACGCGTCGGGAAATGACACCAAGCAGAGCAAAAGTTGCATCTAACTGTGGTGTGATATTCCGACGTATTACAGAGCCGCAACAAGATTCTGAAGTCGCTAACCGCCAGCACTTGGGGACGAAGAGACGTTGTTGGCAACATACACAGCAATCAGCCGGGCGGTCATTAACTACGGTCACCTAGATGTAGCACGACGCAGATGGAGAAGACCTGTCAGAACACCGCGCTCCGGACTATAACAGGAAGTCTCCTGATGTTTCCCATCGATCATCTTCATAGTGAGGCCCGCATATTCTCTGTTAAGGAGAGTTATTAACACCCTCATTGACTCCTTCCCAGTGTGGCGTACTTGGAGTTGCCGCATAAAACAAGAGTGACCCTAGAGCAACTTCGTCCTGGATAGTGTAGCAGGTTAAGTTCTTACTTATCCAGAATATACCCTGACATACAAAACCTACGTCCTGCATGAAATGAGTCCCCGCATGACACTCAGGGGTGTTGTAGAATCTGATAGTTGTCGGAATCAGAATTGAAACCGATAAGAAAATATAGTAGGTGTCATGAATTCAGATATTATTGGTTTGACGTTCGAAACAGAAACTGTATCGGTTTTGGGTGCCACGGAAACCAATTTTATCGGTTTTGTTATCAGAAACAAAGCAAGAGGATAGTCGTTGACAGATTTGAAATGTAAGTTAAGAAAATAATTTATATTATTGTTAGGATTTAACTTATCGTTATTTCTATAGGGGAAAACATAAGAATAAAACAAAGTGTTATAATTGTGTTTATGGAAAAAATCAAGATATTTTAAGAGAATTTACAAAACGTAACAAACGTAATTTAACACCCAAATGCGTCTTTATTCAGTCAATAATGTGATATAAATCTGTAAAGTAAGCATGTATACAAACATAGAAGTAAATGCAATCCAAAATTACAACAACTACGCAAATCTGTCTTGGATTTCACAACACCCCTGACTATTCACCTCTTTTCATGCCTAATGAATCCAACTCACTTAACGGCCCTCTCCCTTTGGTCCGAACCCGTCGAAACAGCTCGTTTACTGGGCCTACCATCAAGTGATTTCGATGATAGTTACTTTCCCCCAAGCAAGGTATGGATAATCGTTACAGCAACAAAAACAACCAAATATATTCCATATACTGATTTTTAATGCAAGACATATAATATCAAATACCTTTATAAGTTCTTCGTCAGTTGCGTATTTATTTAGTTTTTTTAAATCTGCATTGGGAATATATAGTAGCATACACGCGGCAATTATTGAAATATTATCCATAATGAATTCATCTTTGTTTGAATAACAAAAGAAATACGGAAATCTAAGGAAAATTTATAAGAATATAAATATGTATGTAACGAATAAATGTACCAAAAATAATTTACTTTGAAATAGGCCACTCTTTAGATATCCATGATGTAATTAAATCATTTATATAAGGTTTTATTAACTGAGACTGTGAACATCCGAAAAAATAAGAGACCTGCACAAACTCGCAGAAGTCCTCTAAAATTTTATATTATTAAATAGAGAAGAATTATGCATTAATTATATCTGTAGAATCTAATACATATACATCGATTTTACCTTCCGATAATTTCCTTGTGGCATATAAATTCTCCAATTTATTTAAAGCACTTTTCTGGTAATGTGAACTAAAAGCAAATAGAGCCACTAAGAGTTGCATCACTACTGAGTTACGATTTTGTGCTAAATCTGTTGAAGTGTCCTATAATATACAACCATAAATAAATAAGGTATACATTACTATATTAAACATACCAATAAATCTTTCCAATTGATTGCAGAAAACAACTGTTCACACATATTATGGTGCTCATTAATATGAAATGTTGTGGCAGAACTTTTCAGCCAACCAGTATCCATTAATGAGGTTATCGTGCTAATCACTGAGAATTGAATTTGTAGCGACGGAAAGGATAAAAACTTCATCAAAGATATACAAATGCAAATGAAGTCATCCTTCATCCAAATCCCTTCACAATTTTTTGAAATCAGGCGTACACTATCTATTAAATTGCTTGTTATTTTTACGGGATAGTTTTTTTTGTATGCTATTTTCAGTAATGATGTTAATGCCACGAACATGGTATCCAATAATTCATTGATTGAGTAAACATATTCGAAAATCTCTATGATTCAATAAAATATTAGACATTATTAATATAAATGTACGTATATATACATATATATTTCATATGTTTGTGTACCTGCAAGCATGGCAACCAATCTCTCGATGATTTTAAGATCCATATAATATAACTTAAAAATTAATTTTAATTTATCTACGAACCACTCGCCAATTGGTAAGTTTTCTGCTACATTGCCTCTTGTCCTCTTACAAAATATCTAAAAGATTTACAATATTTACTTTTGGTTAACACACAATTCTTATATTATGTATGTGCTCATATAATTAAGCACCTACATAACACTAGTCAAATGTATCAAAAAAATGTTATCTTATTAAGGAAAAAAGTGTAGGGAAAACTTATTTGATCAAGAATCTTCATTGCTTATTATTTATATTAGTTCACTTAACTGAACTAAACGAAAGAGATATAGTTATATGTTTATAAATCACTATGAGGACAAGGCGAGTTGAATTCCGCCCGTGCAAGCGATAACTTTAGTTAAAATGAGATATCTTGATGAAACTTGAATAATTTTCCCGCCCATAAAATGCCGTTCAGCGAAAAATTATACAAGGCTATAACTAAGCCAGTGTGGCTCGTCTCTAATAGGTTCAATGTAGATATCTCACAAACCACTAAAGCTCAATCGATCAAACTTCAAGTCCTTCCAGCACTTCTTCAAACAGTAGGTGAAATCGGATAACCACGCCCGCCCCTTTAAAGGCTATATTAAAAACTACTTAAAAAATGATAACTCGCTATACAATGTCGTCTGAAACATAAAATTCCGTAGTCCAGAAGGTGCTAAAGGCTTCAAAGGAATCAGTGTACGGTGTACGGGTCGGACTACAACCACGCTTACTTCCCATATATTGATAAAGTCCTGTCCTAATGTCTGTATGTCTGTCTCACTCCATATACGCGAACTATTTTCTCAGTTTTTGCGATATTGATCGAAATTTTGCACACTACCTTTTTTCACCAAGAAGCTGTACCGTCGATATCAGACCACTAAATCAAGTCCTGTATGGAAAACTTTTTTATTATTACGGACTATTACAGCATATAGCAACAAACCAAGTTCTTGTAAGGAAAACTTTTGTATTTGTAAGGGGTGAAATTAACGTTTTCCCTTTTTTTTTGTCTTTTTGTTCCCTACAAAGTTTTATGTCGAAAAATCGAATTGAAACCGATAGAAAAATTGACCTGTGCTATTTAAATGGGAAACTGAAATATGAAAGAGCTAAGCTGCTTTTGGCCGTCGACATAATTTCTATTAAAGTATCTGATACAGAAAACGTATATCACAGAGAACATTCACGGTGCGGCCATTATCAAAATATTTCACTTTTCTAAGGGGAACTGAAAACGATGAGCGTGTTTCACCACAGAAAATTATTAGTGTGTTTCACCACAACTAACATCAGGGGACTCAAAAACAATGCGCAAATGACTTAGCATTTAATTTTTAGATAATCTGTCTATAATAAAGCACATAATGCCAAATTCCAATTTAATTATATACATCATATATTCAAATTGATAATAATGATTCAAATATACAATAAAGTAAGCATTGTATTATTACCTAAATATTTAATAAATACACATACATAGGTTTTATTGATAATATATTTATATACATATTATTTGCTTTGATCATTAAAAGTTTTGATAATATCTGAAAAGCGTACACGCTTATATCTTATTTTCTCATCATAATCAAATTAAGTGCTTTATTACTAGTCTATTGAAAATCTGACACCATAGTTTTATAGGCAAATTTACAAAAAATAGTAGTTTGGCAGCGCATAGTGCGCGCATCTGCGTGCAAGTAGTAAATTTGAAATTCCCTACGTAATAACCTAATGTGACAGTGTCGAAGTGATCCTTGATTCCAAAGACGCAAAACATGCTCTCATCGGAAAAAATAACTTTCTGCTAAAGCTCCGGGGATATTTAAGTACTCTTTCGCGACAACATTATGCACTTACCTATTGACCAGCGGCCGATTCGACCGATTTTAGGGTGTTTTTCTTTCTTCGAAAAGTTTAACCATTATTTCCCTTCCAGAGGGGCTAATTTCTTTTTTTTAGCCGAGACTCAATATTTTTAATTTAAAAACAAACTGAATAGAACAAAAATATTTTAAAATTGTTACTTTTACGAAAACAAGTTAAACTATAACTTTTTGTTACACGTGTACGCAGATTTTTTCTGCGCTGCCAAATTACTATTTTTTATAAATTTGCCTATAAAACTATGGGATTATGCAATGGACTAGTAATAAAGCACTTAATATGATTATGATGAAAAAATAAGATATTAGCGTGTACGCAGACTTTTTCTGGCGAGTGTATGTGCGACCGCATGCTGAGATGAAGAAATTAACGGAGAAATCGAAAAGGTTATATGGTCTGTGATGATAGCTTCCAAAAAGTTTAGGTATAACTGATAGTTTTGCGATACCTCTATAGTTTTCTATGTTGGACCTAAATCCACTTTTATGCAAAAAAATTATAAACGACTGTTTCCATATTAATGGAAATATACCGTGATTAAGAGAGGAATTAAATATCCTGGTCAAAGGCAAGCAAATATATTTGGCACTATTTTTTAGGAAGCGTGAGGGTATCATGTCGGGGCCGTAACTAAAAGATGGTTTTAACTTTTTTAAATTTAGTAGGACGTCTTCTTCAGAAATAATTGGAGCGCTAACTAAAGTATTCGGACACAGCACGTGCTGATAAGAACAAGTTTTAGAAGAATTATTACAATAGTTTGACTTGAAAAATTTTGCAAACATTATGGATATAATATCATTGTCACTTGAAATAAAATATTTGTATTTCATCGCGGACGGAAATTTGAAAATCCTGCGTTTGGAGTTGACGAAATCATAAAACGATTTTGGATTATTTACAATATTCTTTTTTACTTTATTAAGTAATTATTATAACATTTTTTGTTTATATCAAAATATTGTCGACGCAATACAGAATATTTAGAATAGTCGACAATTGAGCCGGTTTTTTTTTTAATGTTTAAAGGCTCGAGTTTTCTGTTTTTCAATTTATATAACTCTTTCGAAAACCACGGACTTATTATTTTACTTTTATTAACTATTACTGTTGGAACATACTTTTCAAATAATTTCGTAATAATGTTATTAAAATGCAAGACATTCAATTCAATATCACCATTATTATTAGGCCATGTTATTGTAGAAAGTTCTGTATTTAACTTTTTAAAATTAGCTTTTGCAAAGTTAAACCGAGTACAGAAGCTAGAATTTTGATTATTACTATTCCGTGTATTGCCTATGATTTCGATAGATATTTTCAAAACAGGGTGATACGAGTCCTCTGGTAGAACAAGAGGATTACTCTGAATAACGGAACACGTTAAAGAGGTATCAACGTATACTAAATCTAAGCATTTACCAAATTTATTCGGAATCAAATCAACCCAACTCGCACATTTTTTCAAAAAACTCATTAAAACATGACCGATTGCGAATCATAGTCACCGAAAGCTTTCCACGAAGCGCACGGTAAATGGAATTAGCCTAAAACAATTATTGCATCTGCATTATTTGCCATCGAAGTAGCGCTATTTATTAAAGAAGCATGCTGCATGTATACAAATAAGTCCGAATGGGGTGGTATACAAGATAGAGTTAAATAAATAAAGCAACTATTAACATAGACTCTAATATATTTAAATTCAAATGAGTCGGTTCCTGGAGCAAGAACATCTTCAGATGGGATAGAGGAATGTACGGCAAATAAAACTTTTCCACCGATTCTGTTCAGTCGATGATATCTAAATATTTGAAATTCGCTGTTTAAAATCTTATTATCAAAAATGTGAGGTTTTAACCATGTTTCTGTAAATCCAATTATATGGAAATTAAAATTGGAACTGTTTAAGTACAAGTCGGTTAATTTTGTATTAAGGCCTCTAACATTTTGATAATAAATGCTAAGCGAATTTCTACCAATCAGTTTTTTATATCGGTGGTTGCTTTTGTAATGTAACAATGTTTTCCTTAGTATGATTTCTAAGTCTAAGCTAAAATTCGCGTACAAAAGCTCCAGGTGGCCAGAATGAGCTATCTGAGATCTTTTTGAATGTTACAAGAGATACGTCTATTTTAAACAATTATTTACTTCTATCATAATTGAAGTTAAATTTACGGATTTTTAAACGCGACGAAATGTTTAACAGATGCTACTAAGTTAGTAGGGGGAGCCTCTTGAATTTTGAGACACGTATGATTATTAGATAGAGCTTTTGGAGAATTGAGCTCTTTGGAAGCTGACGGTTTATCACCATGAGGGCAAGGACAAAAGAGAGAGATTAGGTCATTTGGAGGAGACGTATTCTTCTTTACAGAAGAACTATCACTTAAAAGATTTGAACCATTTTTCGTAGTGCCTAAATTTTTCGGTGAGGGTTTGAAGATCTCGACCGATTTCGTTAAAACCATTGCGTGTCTGAAAACTTTAAATAGATCGATTTCAATAGCGTACATTTCTTAACATTGGAATTTGCATTATTTTTCTCATTTAACACTGAAAGTTTAGTTGTGGTGAAACACACTAATAATTTTCTGTGGTAAAACACGCTCGTTTTCAGTTCCCCTTCGAAAAGTGAAACATTTTGATAATTGGCCGCACCGTGAACCTTCTCTATGATATACGTTCTCTGCTAAAAACTAAGCACGCCATACCTATATTCTATAATGAATTCAATTTTAAAGTAAAATAATGTGCTTATTAGTTCCTATATATCATTTGGATTCTCATGGAGTTTTTATGGCATCTTTACTTAACGGAAACTGCTAAAGGCTTATATGCTCTTAAGCAGCTTTATTGCGGAAGAAACTACGACAAACTCCCAAACTGAACGTATACGAACGATTTTCATTATCGATTCGGCCATTCAAGCCTACCTGACATAACCTGACCAATTTTCTGTCATAAAATTTATATTTTCTTTATAATTTTTCTATAATAAGATCAATTTTTTATAAAAAATAACCCAGTAATTTATTATAGTTTCATTATAAGAAAGCTGTAAATATATATATTATATATAATATTTAAAATATTTCGATCAAAAACTTAGATGACCATTTTATTGAAAAAATTAATATGATCTCTCTCGATTTGGAGTTTTGAATGGTTTTTAATTGAGAACTTATCTATCGTAGGTAACGGGTACTTAAAGCGAAGCAACCTATTTTGACAATTTGAATAAATTTCGTTTCAAGGACTGTCAACTCAGCAGCATTCTATTTAAATAAATCATGCAACTTCACCTTAACTTTGCAACTCAGTGGCCTTCTGCCATCATCGTCGCCACAACAAATTATGTCTGGATTGAACATAGGCTGACTTCGAAAACGTACTACTGTAAAGTATCGATACAGTATGACTTCAGTATTTATACATCGTCGGTATGCAACGTCAAACAACGTTGTATAATTTGACGTTACAGAATACTTTTATTGCACAGTTTATTTTCGCAATAAGCTGTTTTGTTTTTGCGAGCGTTATCTTTATAAAATGTTAAAATTAAAACCAAATAGTTTAATTATAAATAACTTCTTCCGTTTCATCAAAAATACAAGCACAAAATCATTAATATATATACGAAATTATATTCTTGCCATTTTAAGTACATTATTTGCCATCATCCTCACAACTAAAAACAAGCTTAACAATCTCACTCCGTCATCGTTGCACTTTAAATTGTCAAAAAAAGATTTTCTCTATCACTGCGCATCGACTGCCGGTTTAATGCCTTTCAAAACATGATGCAATGTCAAAGATATTTCGGATGCATTGCAGAATATTATACTTTGTTCCTATACATTGCAATTGACGTTTTCGAAGTCAACCATAGTATTATTGCCAATTAAATGATTGAAATTATGGATTAATTATTTAATTGCTTGCCAAAATTATTTTAATTGCTCAATTAAGATTCATTTCGGTTATAATATAAACGAGCACATTGTTCTCAATTTGATTCTGTATATATCTTAACTATCTGTTGTGTTTCTAATTTTTCATCAGGGTTTATATTTCGTTCAAAAGATTTCCCAAAGACATATATGATATATAGCTTTTATAGTAACTAATAGTTTTCAATTACAAAAATATATCGCAAGGTATTTTATGTAGCTATTTAATTATATTATAATACATACTTTTATCAATGGAAGAAGAATGTCTAAATCATGGCGAATATTGAAAACATATCGTGATATGTGATGAAATGCATATTTTTGGTAAGTGTTACTAGCACATAGTTCAGCCAGAATACGTAGCGATATTAGGCGAATTTCCGCCCAGTCGCTGACCTTACTTTGTAAATGTTGGGAAGCTACAAATATAGAATTTTTATTGACAATAATTGCAAAACTTATTTAATTTACCGCTATGTGACAAACTTGCTCCTAAAAAGTTTATCAACTCTTCCAATGGTTGCGTCTCCAAAAACTGAGTTAATACCACACTGGAGGTAAAAGTTGTTATAAATGATTCCAAATATTGCAAAATTTCTAATAATTCGGTTCGCTCTATACTTCTTGGATCATTGATTTTTAATTGAAACTGTGCAAGAAATATTAGTAAACATTTTAAAATAAATATTTCAGAACATATGGATATTAAATATATAAGTTAGAAAGCATACCTCCATATGACTAAGATAAAATCCAATGCGTTTAATTAGCGGGCATTGCGTTAAATTCTGGTTAGTAAATACTCCATAATGCACAAATGTTTTCATTAGATCTGCCAATTTATTTAGTGATGTCATATCCGAAACGATACTAACACATGTCGTTTGTTTTGAAATTTTTACATTCAAAGTACGCATCAGCAGCTCATAAGTATTCTGAAATAAGCAATTGCTGAGTTCTTTTGGAGAAATGACATCTGCATCAGCCCCATTTTGGTTTGATTTTAGAGTTTTAGCATGTTCCTCCAAGCACAGAAACTTTATATTATATTTATATTGAAGCATGTTTAAATTAGTGAAATGCATTTGAATTTCATCTCCACATGATGTTTTTGGAAATATTTTGCGTTCATTTAAGAAATTTATGACAGCAATAGCGCAGGTATCATTTATAAGTGTAATATCGACGGGGGAAATATTTAATAGCATACTTCTAGCATTTATTTTCTCATTCACTTCATAAGCCCAGATTATAATTTTTTCAATGATGTTGGAGTTTTTATCTATACCACAAATATCTGAATGTATCAATATTTGACGAATAGTTTCAAAAGCTTCAGATCGCCTTAAAATACTATTACTAATAATAGATTGAATCAGATTGTTACTTGATTCGAACGAAAATTTTCCGTGTTTTATTAATTCTTGTAGCAATATTTGTTTCTCTATTATAATATCACTATTTTCGGAGGACTCAGATATTAAGAAATTTGTTATTTTTTTCCACGTTTCCTCACTATAACTTATGTAAATTTTGTCATTGCTTGACGACATATAGTCTTCGAATTTTAAGATCGCTATAAGACTACGTCGTATACTTCGCCAGATCACAGCATTCGCCGAAATATTTAAAACTTTTGAAACAAATTGAAGCAGCTCTTGGTAATTTGATACGTTAATAATATTTCTTTGATTACTAAGGAGGACAGCCAGGATTGCAAACCTGAAATATTTTAAATGTGAGCAATTATTTTAGTTTTTTGATTATCTAACTAAATAATAAAAAAAACTCGAAAGTAAAACGAGAAACTTTGCAAACTTTTTGGTTATAATCTCATCCAAATTCAAATCTAAATAAATTATGTATGCCGCATATAACACGTTATAACTGTATGTTTCCTTTCAAAAGTTGTACTGTAATTTTTAAAAACATAGGAGTATTTCTGAATCTAACAATTCCTAAGTAAAACTTCATACCCTGTACCCAACTCTGATCCAAAAAACCCTGTGTGACCACCGCTTATTTTTTCTAATTCTAGGTTATTTATAAAGGGTAACAACGTATTATTCTTATACTTTTTTTACTCAAAAGCAATTTAAGACATATAAATGAACTAAAGTCCTTATCTTAAAAGCTTTTGCAGTTTTTCTTGTAAATTGGAACTAAAATAACTGATTTGATTTCTGTCGACAAGAGGTAGGTAGGTGAATATACAACAAAATGAAGCTTTATATATTAAACATGCAATACGTACCACGTTTCGTTAATAGTTTTGTCATTCTGAATAAGCCGCAAAATAATCTCTAAATTGTCCGAAATTTTTGAGACTTTTTTCAAAGGTTCATCCAACCCCGCAACGTCGGTATTTGAATTAATGTGCCAAAATATCTTACGAGCACAAGAAAAATGTAAATCCATCATAAATTTCTATACATAAAACATACCACATATACAATATCGCTGGCCATTTCAATAAAGTTCTCCATAAATTTTTCACGCTCACTTTGATATGCCCTTTGAATTGTTGCCCTTCTTTCTCTTATTTCCAATTCCACTATAGACTTTAATTTGTTCAGAGTCTTCGGCCAACTGTCTTTAATGTTAATTTTTATTGTTTTAAAACTACCATTATTAATATTTGGGTATATGGCATGTATAGATAAGTATATTGATATGCAAAATTTTTCCTACAAAACATAAATATCATAATTGGTTATATTAACATCTATAAAGATTGAGAAAAATGTAATAATTTACTTTAACTTCTGGCTTCAATTGTAAATTATACATATCACACAAAATGGGTAATACATCCTGTAGGGACTCGCATATCGTATGATGATAATCTATAGATAACTGAGAAATAAAAGCGCAACAAAATAGCACATCATTTATCAAAATATTTGCTTTAGTTACCTGTGATATAAAAGCATAATATAATTTGATAACATCTGACTTTTTACGATCTTCATTGGCTCTTCGTGCAAAAGGCATTATTTCCGGAAAGTAATCTACGATTTCATCTTGTATATGTACATGCTGAACGGCTAATTCGATAGTTTTAACTATACAGCTGAGTACTTCAAAACGAAGAATCTCATCACCAGGAATTGTTATTTCAAATAAATTCGAAAGAATATCTAGTGATAGGAATGATAACACTTGTTAGGTCATAAGGTAATTAACTTACTGCTATATTCATCAACTTTCAATTCGCGAACATATAAAGGGCATTTGTATATTCCACGTTCTACAATCTGAATAAACAAGCTACCAAAAATTTTTACTGCACTTGTAGTGCTAAATCCATTACAAAATGCCTGGTAAATTAAAGATTTTGATAGGAAATTATTTTCATCTACAAAAAACAATATATATTATTTAAGAATTACCACAAAATAAATTTAAAAAACTTACGTTCCAAATTGTAATCTATTAGCTTATGAATGACTGAACGATAGATATGATTTTTGTTGAGCATAGCTTGAATGCTTTTTTGGTCTTTTAACTCCACAACTTTAGATGCATGCTGAAAAAAAACTATGAAATCAATGCTTTATGGGTACGTTAATACAAACCTTGAGCACAGCCTCAATAGCACTGGAAAATATTTCATTTATAGAAAAGTCTTCCGTGTGTTTACCACGGAGCCTTTGGATTAGCTCATCCTTGGAATTCAACAAGATTGTCTCCAGGCGTTCCATAGCTTTGTTTCTAGTCGGTGTTTTATCAGAACGTAGTTCTGGACATAACGCTGCTATTTGTTGCAGTTGAGAGGACATATTTATTTTATAATACTATGGCAAATGGCCACCAACACAATTACACAGTTTTTTTAAATTTCCAAATTTTCTTGTAGCACTCGCGCTTCTTTAAAATTCAGTGAATAACGAAAGTAACAGCTGATATAAAAGCTTTATTCTCTTTAAAGCACAAGTGACGTTACCAGATTATGGTTTGCACAACAAAATTTGTGCAAGCTTTCAAAAATGTTCAAACTTTTCGTTTTCTTATTTAGGTCCGTTTTCTCAATATGGAGAAGCGCTTAACCAGATCTTTATCGGTAACATATTGAAAAATGGTTTTCTCAATAGCTCGTTAGCAACCATTTGTCAGTTAAGCTCTGGTATGTTTCAATCATACTTTATTTCTCTGTTATTTGTGAACGAAGCAACATCAAGGATGAAATGACAAGGATGACATGAAGCGAGACTCTCTCATATTCGCTGATTTTTTTGTTATTCTCTTTCCCTGATTATTAAAATCAGGGAATTTCGAACAGCTGATGTCAAAAAAGGCGGGATGCCAGAAATAAACCCGCTAAAAATAGCTAACCAAAGCAGTGCGAAACTAAATTTTATTTGCTAATTTAATTTACAACGTTCATCAAAAAACCATGATATTTTATTATATGTGTATTGTTTCTTTGTTATAATTTTTTTTTATTTATATGTTTTTTTATGTTATATGATTTTTTTAAAAACTTATAATCCAGCCATCCAGAACGCTTAGATGAATTTCAAAGAAGTCCTTCCACAGTTCTTCGTTTATCCGTGAAGTCATTACGCTTCAATGTTTGCTTACGACTGAAAAAATATACTGCGTGCATGATGCAAGCGTTTACACCATAAAACATGTTCATAGCAACATCATGTTTTTTAAAAATTTTAAAAACCATCGCACATGTATGACGAACACGAATTTCTTATATTTACACGCTCATTCTTCTCATCACGCCGCACATGTTTGCATACAAAAATGACCGTGTAAAGGCCGCTTTTAAGAAAAACCAGCTGCATAGACGGCGTTCAAACGGGGACTCTTTTGTCGCACATTATCATTATATATTATGCATATTTGCATTCATATATGAATATTAATGGGAATAACATTAAAATTTCCGAATATAATGTAAATGATAGGAATGAAAGGAATTTAAAACGGAAGAGATGCCGAATTGCATAGCAGCGAGCTGTTACCGGAAAGAACAGAAAGCGGGCCACCTGGGCATGAGCGGCATGATCTCTCCGTCTTTCCTTGTTGCCACCTGACCTACTAAAACCGGTTTGGGCGGCAAATACAATCCTCGTCTGAACATGCACACACATGGCTTATGACATTTATGAAGAGAACTTAAATGAACGAAAAGGTGCTGGTTCAACAGCAAACATTTGTAAAATTTCAGTCGGGAATTCACTTCAGGAGAAATCAAATAACATTTCTTGCGGGGATTCTGTACTAATACAGCTCTCTTAACATGCCCAGCCGGAAAATATTGAGGAGAAATGTTGCTGATATTGATATGCCCTTTTAAATATATTCCCTTTTATTAAACATGTTAAGAAAAATTTAAAAGAAAATATTTGTAAATTTGTATGTATATATGTACACATTGCTTTATGTGAAATCTCCGTTGATACGGTCAACCAATGACCGAAGCTCACGTTTTTGCTTTCTTGTCAAAGAGTCAATGTGCCGAAGGAGAAAAAATAAACGAATGCTCGCCGATTGTCATCGCTTCCCTTGCCGCTCTAACCGCTTTGCATACAAATCATTGTAAATATGTGTGTTTATATATGAACATGCATGTATATTGACGCAGATTTTTGCGAGCCCCAAAAAAATATTTTAGAATTCACAAATATTTTAAATCGACAAAAGCTTTTTGCCACTGTTGTCACTATTTTCTGTGGGTTTGAGGGGTTGTCACTTTTCGCTTTTAGAGGGAACATCAGAAAGTTGTTCAATTTATGATTTCTAGCTTTTGCCATCGTCGCGAAAATACCCATGTAGGCAAACGCAAGCTCAGGGAGATGTGTAAGGGCGTTTGCTTTTATGAATGAAATGACTTAGCTTATTGCATGTGAGCGAGCATTCATGAATAAAAATGTTGTTGTTGTGATGACTTACTACAAATGTAGGATTTGACAATTTGGCTGCCATATTAATTTCTAATGCTGCTCATGCTTTTTGAGACAATTGTTGTTTTTGTACAACAATGTTTGTATTTTTCGCGAAAATGGGTGAAATCGGACTACAACGACGCCTATTTCCCATATAACACCATTTTCAATTCCATCTGATTCTTTCACTTTCCACTATGCAAATCAAGCAACAATGATTATATCGGGGTAAAACTTTGTAGAAGTAGAGGTCAAGCAACTCCCTTTCAAACATATTCATAGGAATACGAACTGGGATACCTTTCGAGATACGATAGCGATAAATGTGAGCGGGGAGGAGCAGTCAGATAGTAGTGGTACAGCATCAACACTAGAAAGCAGATTGTCTGTGCTGAACAAGTCCATAATAGACGCAAATAACTACAGCTGCCCCATAAAAACGATCATCTTAGGCAAGGGGTACGTAAGCTCTTTAACAAGGCCAAACGTATGGGGAACTGGGAGAAATAAAAAATGCAACCTTACTTCTTACAACAAAAAGATTAGGTCTTCAAAACAGAAATGTTTTAAGAACTCCTGTGTAAACGTCAACTCTACACCGGAGGCAGCATGACTGTACAGGGCTCTGGCCAGAGGCAAAAATGACACAGCAGTAATGATTAAAAGATGTAATGGGACATATACCACCAGTGCAGAAGTAAGAGCTTTCGCACTTCTGCTGGCGCATTTCTCAGAGACAATTCCGGTAAACCTGTGTCAACCGGTGGTCGAACACAAACCATATTGCTCTGATTGGAGTGTCGCAACACAGCTGTTTATTGCGGATTCGATCAAGTGGCCTATGGCCTCGGTATTACGAAATAATGTTGAACACGCTTAAAGCTGCAAGGCTACATGCGAATCAGCATGCATACAGAGCAGGCAGATCAACTAATGCTGCTCAGACATCCAAAGTTCGTTGGATGGAGGTGAGGTAATGTTATGTGACTTTCTAGACATCGAAAATGCTTCTTACAAACGTCTCACGGAAGCGTGGCAAGAGCACTGGCGAAAATTAATGTGGCAGCACCGGTACGCAGATGGATGGAGGCCGTACTAAGCACTAGGATAGCTGAAACTACAGGAGGGGATATTCGTCTCGGCGCAAGGAGGGGCTGCCCACAGGGTGAAGTGCTATTCCCCCAACTATAAAATGGAATTCGCTGACAAGAATATGTAAATGACATTGTCATTTTAGTCAAGGGCAAATTCGTAGACACTTTCTGTGACATAGTACAAAGGGGACTAGTCCTGGCAAAGAGGTGGTGAAGTGGGGTTGGATTGAACATTAATCCTCCGAAAGCCACCCTCGTTCCGTTCACGAGACCAAGGACTCTACCAGGTCTTGGAAGCAGAAAGAAGGAGATGGCTAATTTGGTCAAATACCTGGGCCTCACGCTGGATACCACTCTTCGATGGAAGTAGCATGGGCACCTAAACATAGCCAAGGCTACAAAAGCTCTTATGGTGTGCAACCGACTTGCAGGCAAAACCTGGGGCTACAACCCAAGGATTATCAGGTGGATTTTCACCATGATCGTGAGACCGATTATTACATATGGCACAGTATCCTCGGCTTCAAAAGCATCACACACTTCGGTAGGACTTCAACTATCGAAGCTGCAACGACTTGCCTACATCTGCGCGTCGGGGGCAATGCGTAAGTGTCCGACAGCAGCACTGGAAGTGATGTTGGATCTCACACCGCTACATGTGGTAATCAATTAAGCAGCCAAACATACAATGCTTCAAATGACAGCAGAACGGTTTGGCAGAAGGAAGGTAATCTGGTTCCAGCAGATGAAAGCCATAAGTGATGAAATACTCTTATCTCAAGGGACACCTTCACCAAAATGGTTAACTTCACTAGGAAGTTTAAAGTTATCCTTAGGAGCAAGGCGGAATGGAATGATTCCACGCTGGACCTGCTAGGAAGGGTATTTTCGAAGCATATTCCAAGCGAAAGTCTATGCTATAAGTCGGTGTGTAGAGATAAACCTCCAACCCAACTATCGCAACGAAAGTATTGGCATACTCAGCGATAGTCAAGCGGAACTAAAAGTTATGAAGTTAAATCGCTAATGGCGCAGGAGTGCATCGCATCCCAGTGCACTTTATTTGGGTGCCTGGTCAAAGGTTATAGTCTGAGGAGCTTGCCCGCTCTACAGCTTCCAAGAATGGTAGGACCGGAACCGTACATTGACGTTGGTCCCCACACAATAAGGAGCTGCTCCGTAATGAGGAAAGGTAGGCAGGGAGAGACATTGGCAACAACTTCAAGGCATGCGCCATGCCAGGTTGCTAATGGGTGATTACCCGGCCATTGCAAGTTCAAGAAACCCTTATACAACATGGGCCTGATCGCTTGTGCAAACTGCCGGCAGCAGTTCTGCAGACGCAAGATTTAGACCCTCGGATCCATGTTTCCAAATAGGGATCAGATCGCCTTACTAGCACCTAACAGTATAATGTATTTCATCAATGTGCTGGGGCTTAATGACTCGTTGCGACAAGGGCAAAATAGACCTTAGGTCGCGGTTCTTAAGTGATTTTCTAATCTAATATATTTTTGTAGAAAAGTCGGAGAATCCTTTCAATTGACTAAATATTGGATAAGCTGCGACTCATACAGGAAGAGCGTGGTCCGCTTTAGAATATCTATATGTACCATATGTAGGGTTTTATGGAAATGTAATAAAGTATGCTAAAGAAAAATATTTAGTAAACTTGAAATGAATAATATGATCTTTAAAATAAGCGCTATATCAAAAAAAAAGTTCTAAAATATTGGGAGTTTGAATTTTCACTTTTCAGAAAAGATAAACATGCACAAATTGTATTAACGTGTTGCAAAATATACTTAATAGATAACTAGCAACTCTAAGTAAATAAATGAACGGATTATCCAAGTAGAGATACTTTTTTCAAAGCCTTTTTTTGACAGATCACGCATTTACAAATCGTTCAACTTTATTACGAAAATTCAAGTTCTATAAAGAATGAGTTTCGGGCGCTTCGCTTAACTTGTGGTCAACAAAATCGACCTACTGTGCGTACTATTCACAACACCATCACCCAGTATTCATTATTGGAAAATATAGCGGCGTAGCTGAGAGTGTACACAAAGACCGTGGAGAGTCGATTCGGCGCCGTTCGCAGCAACTCGGACTGAAATTGAAAGTATAAAATGCAGATTATGCAAGAACTGAAGTCGGTCGACATTCCCAAGCGACATCGCTTCCCTCTATGGGTTTCAAGAAGATCCGACGTCATCGAGAATTTTGTTCAGCGATGAGGCTCATTTCTGGCTCAATGAGTATGTAAACAAGCAAAATAGTCGCATTTGGGACGAAAAGAAACTTAAAGAGCTTCACGACCTGCCATTTCATCCAGAAAAAACAAAGGTTTGGTGTGGTTTGTGGGGCGCTGGAATCATTGGTTTATATTTTTTCAAAATTGATGCCGGTGAGAACGGATCCGTCAATGGCGACCGTTATCGCGCCATGATAACCGACTATTTGGTACCTGAAATTCAAGCTCGTGATCTCGGCGACATTTGGTTTCAACAAGACGGCGCCACTTCCCACACATCTCAAAAACAATGGATTTATTGAGAGAACACTTCGGTGATATCACACTGTTGGCCGTTTTTCTTGTGAGGATATGTAAAGTCTAAAGTCTATGCGGACAATCCCGCTTCGATTCAGGCCCTGGAGCAAACCATCTCACGTGTCCTTAACCATCTGAGACGTAGCCTCGGCCAACATTTCAAATAATGCCAAAGGATTTTCTTTCGAATGACAATTAACATTCCCAATTAAATTTGAATTATCTGTGAACATTTTTCTAGTTTTCTTTAAAAAAGTAGGGAATCTCGAAATGGATCACCCTATATAAGTATGAATCCATATCAGTTAACATTAAATCTTCAAATTAATTAATTTTTAACAATTTAACGAATGTATTTAATAATTTGGGAAAAATTTAGAATACTGTCCCACGCATTCGGGAATAAAATGCCTATCGTCGGATAACCGCGGAAAAGTTTTCGAGACATAAACGTTTAAAGTTGAACATTTCAACGATCTAAATTTCGTATTTTTTCAATTTTAAATGAATTTTACACGTATATTTTTCTCGTTTATATCCACTAACACTTCCTTAATTCGTTTGTAGACATTTATTTTACATTATATAATACAAAAGTAGCTTTAATTCCGCCCATGCCCATATCATTTCCGAAATCCTGGATATTCTAAAGCCGATCAAGACTAAATGTCAAACGACGCGATTGCGTTTGTTTTGAATATCAAATGTCAAAATTTTACTTCCCATTCGGCACAGCAAAATGTAAAATTTGTTTACAATATAGGAAATGTTTTAACCCCAACTCAACACAAAGAAAATTGTTATCATTTGACACACAGCTTTAGTACACTTTATCGATAAATGAATAAGATGATTGAGATCGAATCGGATTTCTCGATATATTTAATTGTTGGCGAATCGTTGATTCGTACATGTTAGGAAGAAGCTTGTTGATAAACGTGTTTGGTGTTAATTGCCGGTGTTTTGCTTTGCTTAAAAATAAATAAAATTTAATTATGTCAGCTGCTATGCCCATTAATCCAAAACCATTTCTTAATGGTTTAACTGGTAAAGCGGTTATAATAAAACTAAAATGGGGTCACGAATATAAAGGATATTTGGTTTCCGTGGATGGCTACATGAATATGCAGCTGGCCAATACCGAGGAACATACCGCCGATGGTCAAGTAACAGGTAAAATTTTTGGCTGCGATCTAGAATAGCATCCTTTGAATTCGGTGTCAAAATGGGTATGTACGGATAGAGGCCGTTCTTTACGTTTCTCGTTTTTGAAATATTATTTAAAGTGCGTGTTTTTTTTATGCTTTTTAATGAATTTTACACGTGTATTTTTAACCTTTATATTCACAACACTTAACTAGTTAGTTTCTACACATTTCTTTTGTGTAAAATAGTGAAAAACTAACTGTAATTCAATATTGAGATTCTAATTTTTTTCTCATTCTCTTTCCTTGATTATGAAGATTAGGGAATTTTGAACAGTTGATTTCAAAAAAAGGCGGAAAATAAACCCGCTAACAGTATCTGACAAACGCAGTGCGAATTGTAAGTTTGTTTGGTAAATGTATAGTTTAGGTTCCCCAATGAAGGAGGCCGCGAAAATTTAATTTTTTTATTTATTTAAATCGTCTTTTTTTGACGCGAAGATTACAAATTCAGATCACTAGCTGTAATTACCCGTTCAACAAATTAGACAATTTCTTGTGAACAAAAAATTATGAAGAAATGTAACACGTACAATTTCTTTTACATCGCGATCTGATGGTATGGACGAAGATCACTTAGCTGTAATTACCCGTTCAACAAATTAGACATTTTCTTGTAAAAAAAAAAAATTAAGAAGAAATGTAACAGGTACAATTTCTTTTACATCGCGATCTGATGGTATGGACGAAAAGAGGAGATCGGCGAAATCCTTTCTGCACTGGCGGCCTTCAGATGCGCTTCAAAAAAAATAACTCTGGTCGGTCCAACACCGGATTTGTTATATAATTATGAGCAAATTCAATGCGCTTTCGCCTGTTTACAAGTGAAATATATGGTTTCCTTTGAGCGACTCTACCATGATATCCAGCTTTTCGTAAAATTTTTCTAGCAGTTTCGGCACAAATTGTTTTTAATGGTTATATTTACGTTTTGAATAATCTTGGTGGACGTAATTTGAGGGTTAACTTTCACCATTTTTATTATGTTCCGTTCTTCCCGGGCTGATAATATTTTCGGACGGCCAGATCGAGGGTTTGAAGTTAAAATTCCGGTTTTTTTTTTAATTTTTTTACGACGCGCTGGACAGAAGAATACGTTCTTCCAATAGTTTGCCAAATATTTCTGAAACTTCCGCCATCTCCACAACTTAATGATAACTTTTCTTCCCGACAGACTAATTTCTTTTCTTTTGGTTTCCATTTTTTTAAATATTATTAAAACACGTCACGAGCTCTTTAAACGACTAATTAAGCTAACTGAACGCAGACTTAATGGTGCCTATGTTTACTTGTTCTTACTCTAAAATCCCGTTATCACAAAAATGAAAATAGGAATATACATTTTTATTTACATTTGCAATTTAAACTTAAGATGATAAAGAAGAAATACATGCAGAAAATTTGAACTGAATTACCTATTTACATTGTGTTTTTACTTCACTTAAAAAAATGGGTCGGGTGAACGCAGACTTTATTGGCTATGTGTATATTTTTATCCATACCCATTTTAACCGTGAAATCGTGTGAGGGTATACTTAAGTTTCCCCAAAAGGAGTTCGACGCGAATAAATTGAGAACACCTCGGTATTGGACCGACCAACGCAAAAAGGAGTTTTACGCGAATAAACTGACGACACCTCGGTGTTGGGCCGACCAGGGTTATTATTTTGCAGCACGGCTGAAGACCGCCAGTGTAGAAAAGAATTCTACGCGAAAAACTAATAATGTGTTACTTATTTCCTGCCTTTGGGTATTATCTGTTTTCTTTATTCCTTTTGGTTCCTTTGTAAAATTTTTAGACAAGGTAACACTGATTATTTATTAGAGTGCAATCCTTTTGTTATTGTGTGAATAAAAAGGATTGAAGAAAAGTTTGAACTTTGAAAGCATATACATATATTAAAAACCATAAGTCAGCGGGGGATGCTATTCTAAATTCCAGCCAGGTTCTGAGTATGATAATGGGAAAAATTTTAATTTACATTGTTCAAATAATATATCCTAATTGTATATACGCAGGACGTGATACTTTGACAAATTTGCAACACTGCTGTCGTGATTGCCATCTCGAACGCACCCATACTCATGTTCTTTGTGGATAGAAACCTAAGTTAACTGCAGTTTTATAGACTCGATCATTATGGGAAGGATTTTTTTTTTGTAACATAAAATTAAATATTATTAAATATGGACTTGATTTACGGATTTTCGTGTATTGTTGTCATATTAAACTAAACGAATTATTTTATTAAGAAACAGTAGTTATACACAAAAATGAAGTGTTTGGTTGTAAGGATATGTATAAAAAGTTTGTGCTTTTTTTTGACAATTATTTGGCCAAAATACCAAAAGTTTAAAATGTATATGTATATCCAACATCTTCTCTTTTGAAAATAAAACAGCCCCAATAGGAAGTGTAGAAAAAAATTGAACAAAACATCGAAAACTCCCGCAGAACATCTGTTACATGCCCCATTGTTTTTAAAAAACCACTAAGACCTTTAGAACCATCAAAGTTATATATGACCCATATACCTTTTACTTTTGTGTTTGTTCTACTTATATAATAACATACAACACCGATAAAAATATATATATTAATACAGACTATAATTTTTTATTTCAGGAAATTTAGGGGAAGTTCTAATACGTTGTAACAACGTATTATATATAAAAGGTGTAGATGATGAGGATGAGGAGGGTGAAATGAGAGATTAAAGTGATATATGAAAAAATGTGAAAATCCCAAGAACGAAATAATGCAGCAGGTTTTTAGAATTAAGCTATGTTATGTGCATATAATTAAAGTTTGTATTAGAATTATAATAATTATAATTTAAAGATATTAAAAATTCCTTTAAATATACACTTTTAGGGATTTTAAAATCTTAAAAGAGTATATCTTGAATTACTCAAAACCTGAAGTAAAATTGAAAAAGGAAAAATAAATAAAGGAATAAAAAATATATGAAAATGCGACTTTAATAATATTTTTGATAATTTATGTGAGAATTATAAATCTCATTTTTAATCGAACGCGAAATGGATTTGTATTGTACTCTTGCTTTCACCTGATTTTACAGCGTATACACCACGAAACAAGCCACATTATCAAAGAGAAATACTGCGAAACGTTTACTATATTTCGAAGAGTATATCCACGATAACGAATTTTGGGAATCTCTAGTTCTTACAGATGAGTACAAATTTAATTTATGGGGATCTGATGGCCATCGATTTGTGTGACGTAGGACAGTCTAAACGCTGCAAAATAAAAATTTTAATAAAACTCAAGCATGGTAAAGGCTTCATAGTGTGGTGTGCGGTGCAATGGAAGCTATCTATCTCTCTAAAGGAAGCGAAAGGCTTGCAGTGGGAGCAAATGGCGTCGGTAACCTTGTTTTCATGGAGGGAATTATGGACTACGAGGTAATATTAAAAAAAATATAGTTTAAAAAAACTATAGACACACGCTTTTAAAGAATATCGAACGAAAAAGTTGAAAATAATTTTAAAAATTAACTTAAATAAATAGTATATAAAAAATACTAGTATAATTGAGGAAAAGGCTTAGGGCGCTTTATGCCATAATTTTCGTATATCGAACGCCCCACGCTTTTTCCTCAATTATACTGTATTTTTTATATATATTTTTTTAAGTTAATTTTAAAATTATTTTCAACTTTTCGTTCGATATTCTTTAAAAGCGTGTGTCTTTAGTTTTTTTAAACTATATTTATTTTCAACTTTTAGTTCGATATTCTTTAAAAGCGTTTTTTTTAGTTTTTTTAACTATATTTATTTATATTTATTATTTTTAATAAATAGTAGCTGTAGCTATCTACACTATGTACATTTTCGGACGAAGTATCACAGTATGTAATGTATGACCAATATATGGTATGACTCATCGTTATGAACTCGATTGTATTTCATATTTTCTCGGCTCTTTTTACCAGAATTCTATCATCTTATAATTGTGTCTTGCTAAAAATATAAATGAAATTTTCAATTAATCATTTTAGACACAGTTGTATGAACTTGTGCTTGATGATTTGTGAATCGATATTATATTATTGGCGACCAAATAGGTATTTCAATCGGATTATCAGTGGTAACAAATTTCCACTCATCTTCGGTGGCGTTTTCAACATCAACTTCGCTGATAAAAAGTCAGAGCGGTTGACAAATTTTCTTTCGGAAAGATTGAATTTGAAAATGAATATTGATCCACAAGAAACCACTACAAAATATGGAAACACCATTCACGCGGTATTTTCCAGATATTTAGAGGATGTAAAGTCTCAAACTTATGCATCTTATTTAAGTTACCATAAAACTATAGTTTCAATAGTAAAAATTCCTGAATAGTCTAAGTCCCTTGTAAGATAATAAAAATATTTTAAGCAATACTAACTTCTCATTTATTCAATTCTTTTTTATTTTTTATTAAATTCCATATTTTGACCTGCCATTAAAAATTTTATCCTAAATATTATAATTTTTGTTGTCCGTTCAGTTGATTTGTTCCCTTTGAGATGCCAAAATATGCCTAAAAGTATGCAAATATTTTGCGCATACTTTGTAGTCGTGTTGGGTTTAGTCAGAGAACGTAAATGAATAGAGAAGGAGCAAATGTTAGCAGTACTAAAATGTTAATTACGATGGAGGAACATCGAAAACGCGCAAATTGGAAAATAAAATTTCACCACAACTATCAGGGTACGAAACGAACTACACCACTCTATAAGCAAAATGTATATACATACATAAGCACAGATGTTCATTGGTATGCGCATAAACAAAAATTGAAATAATAAAAACGAAAGTAATTGACCTCCGACAAGAAAATATAAATAATGAGGGAAATAATCTAAAATAGAATTCAAATATCATTTAATAAAAAGAGTTATATAAATAAAATAGTATAATATATAAAATATGATAGGATTTGAACTTAGGCAAAACATTTCATTGCAATAAGGAAGTGTGCTATACAAGCAGCACCACAGATGATATTAGAAAATATTTGTCTAATCTGTGAACTCAAACAGCTATTGTTGTTTACTTGCTTCAATGTTTATATGTCTATATGTAAATATTCTTGAAATTGCCTTCCTTCATTCGCATGTCCAAATATATTTGCATATATGTACACATATGTACATATGTATGTCCCTCAATATGTCTTTCGCAAAAAATCAAACATTCGCGCAAGTGACAAAAAAACGTAGACGCACCAGCATCGGCCAATAATATTCAAGCAAACTCGCGGCTTATTTTCTAAGTATTTTATATTACAACGACAACAAATTCATTCATAAGGAACGTGCGCTGCTTCAAAGCAAAGTGCGTTCGTTCATAACTCTGCGCCGCGCTATTTTTTCTGTGCGCCTGGTAAACCACATTTGGTTTTCATATAGAATTCCTACCGCAAATGCGCGGAAATATAAATGAATGAAATTGAATTTGAATGTCTTCAGTAAAATTGAAGAATCAGCAAAATTTCAATTTTACAATTTGTATCACTGAAAATCCTACCACCCCCCTCGCATTTGTATGTCCACAAGTTGCTTCCTCACAACATTTGCTAAAAATCAGAAATTGAAGAATTTGTCTGATGTTCACTTCAAAAAGGAGAATTGGCAACATGACCCTTAGCGAGTTTAAATAATATTTATATTTTTGCATATTATGCACTATTTATGGCATTAAATTACAAAATTTATATTAAATTGCCATTCATATGAAATCATTAACTACTTCTATATATTCTAAGCACAGTCCATATAGTACTTTTATATGTTTACTTATTATCATAATTTCATAGTTTGTCGATTTAGCCCATTTTATCTAAAAACGACGTTATGAAAATGCAGACCAATCGTTAATCGTAGCATTTCAAAAGAGCATAAGTCAATTTTCAACAGCAAAGCCCTGCAAAAAGGACAAACGAGACAACATAGCCGATCGACATTGTCGCAAAATTGTCGATTGATACAAATTTTGCCAACTCCCACAGATGCGCAAAATTCGGTGTCAATATGTATGCGAGCTCGTATGCATGTATGTGAATATGTATGATTGTCGACAAAGTCGTCTTTTCGTTTTTCAACATAATGTCCGCGCGAACTCGCCGTTATTTTCTGGCTTGCCACCATGCACAGAGGCGTGTCAAGTGAGGATTCATAATATATTAATATGTTGCTTAATTTGTATTGAAAAGTACTAATGCATTAATGATTTATTTTCTTAATATAATTAATATATATGTAAAATATAAATACCAATAAATTTAAACCTATAATCGTTTTCGTTTAAATTCGATAAATAAAATATATATCAGATATAATTATGTGGCAGTGCGCCCTGACCCCTTCTTGCTTATGTAGTTCAACTTGTTTCTCGCAAAAAGCAAAAAGTGTAGACAAAAGTCATTGCTTGTGCGGAGCAAGAAGAGCAAGCTTCAGCGTACTGTTATTTAGAATGTATGTGTGATTATCACATTGTGTAAATACGCATAATAAGGAATATTCAATAAACCTAAACATATGACATATTCTCCTGATATATTTTAATTATATCAGGAAATAAAATATGCTATTAAAGTAATTGAATTATGATATGCTTAGATTCCAATTAATAAAATAAAAATTAAATACAATTTTAATTTTATGTAATTTACGATTCGAAGTATATGCTCGTATTCGGAATGAGCTTAACTCTTCGCGCTTACGACCTAAGCCACACAAAAGTGGAAACGTGGCCGCTTAGTCACCGTTTTATTATTATCATTTGTTTAATAAGTATTTGCTTACGCAACGCACATACATAAGTTAGAAAACTAGCTTATTAAATGTTTATTTTATTATGAATTCTGGGGTTTTACGGTAATACAGATTTTTAATTCAAAAGGTTTCATAATTATAATATTTGTCATATCATAGAAATTGAAAACATAAATCTAAATAGGTATGCGCAACGATTTTCATATAGGAATATTCGTTGTGTCTATTTATAGCATTTCGCATATTGTGTGGTGTATTTTTTTTTTTCAAGTTTATACTTTTCGATGTTCCTCTTGTGGAATTACAAATTAGTACTCAAAAGTTTCATTTAACATTTGCTCCTTCTCTACTCATCAACATTCTCTGGTAGTTCGTTTCGTACCCTGATAGTTGTGGTGAATTTTATTTTCCATTTTGCGCGTTTTCGATGTTCCTCCATCGTAATTAACATTTTAGTATGCTAACATTTGCTCCTTCTCTATTCATCAACATTCTCTGATATAAGCGTGTTAATAATTTGGCTCACCAGCAGCTAAACTAATTTTAAATGGTGGCTACTGCTGTATTCAGGATAACGTCCCGAATCATTCTGCTTTAGTGGTTAAGAATGGTTGTTGTACAACTTGAAAAAGCTCTGTCAAATACTTCCCAGTGTCCACATCAATTTCATTGAACACTCTGGGCCTATATGGATGCGAAGTTACGAGAGGCAAAGTTAATAGCAAAAATGAGGTTAAAGCTGCTCTTCGGAAATATGGGCATATATACGTCCTGAACTTACACAAAATTTGGTGTATTCTATGAATAGCAACTGCAAACCATGATAGAGATCAAAGGTGCATATACAAGTATGTTTTTTCCTTAAGAGTGTTAAAATATCAATTTATGCAAACTACAAGTTTTTTAATCGTCGTCGAAAATGGAATTATTTGTATTTCTGAATTTTTGGAGAAAACTGGATTTAAAAAAATTTAAATTACATTATGAAAATTATTAAAACGCCTTTTCTTCACTTTTAATGCAACTCAAAAGCTTTATTAGTTTAAGAGATAAGTCACTTCAAAGACAAACGATCTCTCTGTAAAATGTTTGTTTATGGCTCACTGTATGTGTATACATAAGTTAACAAATAAGTTTCTAGACTTAGAGCCATTATCTCAATATATGGTAGCCAAGCCTACGAAAACCGGT